AAACAAAGGTTTGGGGATGCAGGGAGCACCTGGCTGGCTCCTGCTGGACCCCATCCCACCTGTCCTGCAGGTACGAGAGCTTCGAGGACCCCACGGGCACAGTGGACAAGTTCCACTATGGCACTCACTACTCCAACGCCGCCGGGGTCATGCACTACCTGATCCGCACCGAGCCCTTCACCACCCTCCACATCCAGCTGCAGAGCGGCAGGTGGGCACCTGGCAGGTGGCTCCTGCAGAGGGGACACCGTGGGGACACAACCAGGCTCCAGCCACGTGTCCTGTGCCCCCAGGTTTGACTGCTCGGACCGGCAGTTCCACTCGGTGCCCGCGGCGTGGCAAGCCCGCATGGAGAACCCGGTGGATGTCAAGGAGCTCATCCCAGAGTTCTTCTACTTCCCAGAGTTCCTGGAGAACCAGAATGGTAAGGGACACCATTGTCACCACCTGGGGAGCACAGGGCGGGTCTGTGTCCCTCATCATCCTCGTCCTGCCCGCAGGGTTTGACCTGGGCTGTCTGCAGCTCTCCAATGAGAAGGTTGGGGACGTGGTGCTGCCGCGGTGGGCACGGTCCCGCGAGGACTTCATCCACCAGCACCGCAAAGCCCTGGTGAGATGGGGACCCTCTTCAGCCCTGGGGGGGTTCTGGGGCCGTTCCCAGCCCACCCTGACACCCCATCCTTGGACAGGAGTCAGAATATGTCTCTGCCCACCTCCACGAGTGGATCGACCTCATTTTTGGGTACAAACAGCGTGGCCCGGCCGCCGTGGAGGCCCTCAACGTCTTCTACTACTGCACCTACGAGGGTGAGCTGTGGGGCAAAGGGAGGGGGACACCCTGCAGGGACGTGTCCCCCCGTGACCGTGCCCATCCCCATCCGCAGGTGCCGTGGACCTGGACGCCATCACCGACGAGACGCAGCGCAAGGCTCTGGAGGGCATCATCAGCAACTTCGGGCAGACGCCCTGCCAGCTTCTCAAGGTAGCTCAGACCCCCCCACTCCCAAAGCCAGCCCCTTTTGGGGGATCCCCCCACTTCTGATGGGTGTCCTGCCCCCCCAGGAGCCCCACCCCGCCCGGCTGTCAGCAGAGAGCGCTGCCCGTAGGTTGGCCCACCTGGACACCCGCTCCCCCAACGTCTTCGAGAACCTGGGCCAGCTCAAGTCCTTCTTCGTGGAGGTGAGGGCACCCCCGGGGGTCCCTGGGCAGCACTGGGAGGGGTGGGGTGGTCAGGAGGGTGCCCAGCAGCTGCTGTGTCCCCACAGGGCATCAGTGATGGTGTGGCCCTGGTGCAGGCCATGGTCCCCAAGAACCAGGCGCATTCCTTCATCACTCAGGGATCCCCCGACATCCTGGTGAGTGTGGGGAAACTGAGGCACGGGGGTGTTTGGCTGGTCCAGGGGGATCTAAGACCAAAGCAGGAAGGATCCCAGCAGTGAATGCAGTGTCACCTCCCCTCCTCTCTGCTCAGGTCACCGTGAGTGCCAACGGCTTGTTGGGGACCCATAACTGGCTGCCCTACGACAAGAACATCTCCAACTACTTCAGCTTCACCAAAGACCCCACTGTCACCAACACCAAGTGAGTCACCGGGCCACAGGGTCCCCAGGGATGGTCCCTGGAGGTGGCACCAATCCACCACCACCATCCCACATCCCTCCTCACAGGACCCAGCGCTTCCTGCAGGGCCCCTTCGCCCCCGGGGCCGACCTGAGCTCCCGCACGCTGGCCGTGTCCCCCGACGGGAAACTGCTCTTCAGCGGGGGACATTGGGACAACAGCCTCCGTGTCACCTCCCTGGCCAAGGGCAAGGTGGTGGGGCACATCACCCGGCACATAGGTACGTTCTCCTCCCATGATGATGATGTGATGATGATGCCCTGATGGGGCTGTAGGGCCATGGTAGGGGGCAGGTGACACGATGAGCAGGTGGCACCATAAGGGGCATCTCCCAGGGTCTCCATGTCCTGGGCACAGTCCAGGTTCCAACCTCAGAGCTGGAGCAGGATGAGGAGCAGCAGCATCCACACCCCAAAACACATCTTGGAATAGGATTGGCAGCAGTTCCACATCCTAAAACACATAGTGGTGCCATCCCATGGAGTCAGGGGGCCGAGCGTGGGGGGAGGGGACCGGCCCCTCATGGTGTCCCTCTGGCTGTCACAGATGTTGTCACCTGCCTGTCACTCGACCTCTGCGGCATCTACCTCATTTCTGGCTCGCGGGACACCACCTGCATGGTGTGGCAGGTCCTACAGCAGGTAAGGGCTGGAGGAGCAGGGTGAGCTCGTTGTGGGCACTGCCAGCAGGTCGCTGATGTCCCCGTGTCCCCAACGCCAGGGTGGCTTTTCCAGCGGCTTGGCTCCCAAACCCGTGCAGGTGCTGTACGGCCACGACGCCGAGGTGACGTGTGTGGCCATCAGCACCGAGCTGGACATGGCCGTGTCTGGCTCCAAGGTGAGCTGGCGGGGCCGTGGGGTGAGCGTGGGATGGGCAGTGCCACCACCATTGTCACGCTGTGTCCCCTTCCTGCCCCAGGACGGCACCATCATCACCCACACCGTGCGCCGGGGCCTCTTCATCCGCTCCCTGCGGCCGCCCGGCGAGAGTTGTCCCTCTGCCATCCTGTCCCACCTGGCCGTGGGGCCCGAGGGACAGGTGGTGGCCCAAACCGCAGTGGGGCAACCGTCCTGCTCCAAGGTATGTCCAGGTGTCCCCATTGTCCCCTCTGAGCCATCACCACCACCACGCTCCCCCTGTGCTCCTTGCAGGACAGGTTCGCGCTGCACCTGTACTCGGTGAACGGGAAGCTCCTGTCCTCCGTCCCGCTGGACCGGGAGGTGACAGCCATGTGCCTGACCGAGGACTTCGTGGTGCTGGGGACCTTGGAGTGCGGGCTGGAGATCCGTGAGCTCCAGAGGTGAGGGAGGGATGTGCCCTGTCCCGGCCCCACCACGCCCTCGGGGTGTCCCGTGCCAGAATGTCCCATGCCTTAGTGTCCCATGGGTCATGTCCCATGCCGTGGTGACCCATGCCGTGGTGTCCCATGCCGTGGTGTCCCATGCCGTGGTGTCCCATGCCGTGGTGTCCCATGCCATGCCGTGTCCCCAGCCTCAGGGCGGCCGTGCCCCCCGTGCCCATGCGGGTGCCCGTGCGCAGCGTGTCCGTCACCAAGGAGAAGAGCCACATCCTGGTGGGGCTGGAGGATGGAAAACTCATCGTGGTGGGCGCTGGGCAGCCCGCAGAGGTGAGCAGGACTTCACAGCCAGGTCAGGGTGGGAGGGGAACGTGGCTCGGTGTCCCCTGGGTGTTCCCAGCGTGGGGACAGCGATGTGTCCTCTCCAGAGCTGAGGGGGACCCGGGTGGGGTGGGGAAGGCGATGTGGGATAGGGATGGGAGTGGAGATGGGAGGGAGGTGGGGATGGAGAGGAGGATGAGGGTCTGGAAGGAGATGGTGATAGAGAAGGGGATGCAGATGGGGTTGGATAAAGGGTTTTGGGAAGAGCATTGGGGTGGAGAAGAGGATGAGAATCTGGAAGGAGATGGGGATGGAGAAGCAGATGAGGAAGGGGTTGGATAAAGGATTTGGGGATGCTCATGGCGCTCACCCCCCGTCCCCAGGTGCGGCCGGGCCAGTTCCACCGGCGGCTGTGGCGTTCCACCCGGCGCATCTCCCAGGTGTCGGCCGGAGAGACGGAATACAACCCCTGCGAGGGCAGGGCCTAGGCTGGCACCCACCCCCGACCCACCCCCGCCCACCCCCGGGGCCCCGAGCCCCCCACACGGACTGGGGGGGGCCCCGAGAGCCCTGCCCCGCCCGACATCCGTGGCCTTATCCAGCCCCGCTGGGGTGTCCAGCCCCCCCTGGATTTTTGGGAGACGTTTCCTCCGATCTCACAGCGGGATGGGGGACAGGAGGAGGTGGGGGACCCCTCGCTGGGAAGGGGGGGG